TGTTTACTGAGAGCACCGCCGCCGATGCTTCTGAGCACGCCTCTCAGTCTGTTCCCATGGTGACAACATCGACTGGCACTCTGTCCACAACCAATGAAACAGCAGCCGGTGACGATGGGGATGAGGTGTTCGTGGAGGCGGAATCTGAAGGGTAAATGTTTACTCTGTCGGGTTGGCTCGCTGTGCACTTACCAGACTTCGGCATTTGTTTTCCTTCAGTCAGGGAATAATCGGCCGAGCTGTATTTTCAGTAGCATCCCATTACAAAAGGACACCGAGCTGTATATTTTGAAAGACTACTTTTTGCATATCGTAATGTTTTTGAGACTTGGTGGTGGTTATTACAGAGGATAAATGTTATCTCCCTGAAAATTGCATGATGTATTTATTATAGAACAAAGTACTTCTTTAAAATCACGCGTACCCTTTCATTAATGTAGTTGTCTAAACTTCCCAAGAAAGAAGCCTTTCTGGGAAAACTAGAAATTACAGGAAGTGACTCACTTTCCATTTAATACTGGGCTTTCAAGTGAACCTCACTTAGTCTTTATTTGTGTGCGTTTAGATCTTGGTATCTGGCATACTGACTTCTTAAAAATTAGGAATTATCTAGTAGTTTTCAAAACCTGACTATATTTTTAACATCAGTTATAAACAGAGTTTTAACAAAAGAAGCATTTCATGATGAATCATCTGGATTTTCTTACGTTAAAGGAAGTAGAGTGATTTCATGGAAAGAACTACTAGACAGTGGTCTTGGGGAGTGTAACTTTCGACATGGAACCTAATTCTTTATAAAATAAGAAGTTATGCTACTTCATGCTGAGAAGCATAGGTAGAAGCAGAACCCAGATTTCCTGGTAGAGCACAAAGATTTTGTTCCGGTGGTACTTTCTTAACGTAATTATAGGGCAGGAAAAGAGCAGGGCTGTTGTGATGCTCTAACACATAGTTACTTAATTTGGAGAGGCGACAGCTTCTGAGAATACCAGCTACCACTGATTCCATACCATGTATCAGGTCACTTGATACATGTCATTTCTAACCCACACAGTATCTCTGCAGTGTCGTCTCCATCTTATAAGTGAGAAAGCTCAAACTCAGAGCATGTTAAAATGGCATAGTTAGGCTGTAGTTACACTGGCGACTGGCTCTGGTGGATTTGAGCCCTGACTCCAGCCCCATGTGCTTTACACTTCACAGCACTTTTCAACTTCAGCACATAATTATGAGAGATAGCTTTCGGGTACATTGTTACCAATAAGCATGCTAAAGTTTGCAGATGATTAAAACTGGAACAGAGTCAAGTTATTTTGTCCTCTTACCTCCCTCACCTGCTTTTTAATGTGCTTTCTTGGGCGAGAAAGATGGAGTTTAGCCATTGAGCAGGAGTTCCTGTGCCCACAGCATCTCATCTGGGCTAGAGCCCATGGTGAGTTAGGGGGGTATGTTAGTAATAGTTGTGACTGTTGTGAATTATTTTAGTATTCTACTTTCCTACAAAGTTGTTTTGAGATTTATCGAAACCTGGATAATATATTTTTAGTGAATGTCAAATGTTAAAACAGAAGAGAAACAAAAACTAAAATCGGAACGTGTACTAGTGAGAGGACTGAGGAAAAAGCAACTTGAGCTCTCTTACCCCACCCCTTTAGAAAAACATGGCTACCAACACCAGAGCTTGCAATTTTGAGTTGAAGAGGAGCTCTACTTAAGTGGTCAACTGTATCAAAAAGAAGTTTGGGAACAATAGGATACATTCTAGGATCAGTTTTGTATTTCCTAATCAATTTTTGTTTTCCTTTCTTAGTATTAGTTCAGAAGCAGGCCTGGAGATTGACAGCCAGCAGGAAGAAGAGCCCGTCCAGGCGTCGGATGAGTCAGACCTTCCTTCCACCAGCCAGGACCCCCCTTCCAGTTCCTCTGTAGGTCAGTTCCTGCGCTTGGCCACAACACAGGGTTGCACATCAAATTTGTTTGCAAAAGACACTTTTATTAGTAATGATTTGATAATCCTTCTTTTCCTGAATTTAAAATGCTTTATTTAAAAGAGAAATTTTATTTTATTGAAGGGAACTTGGTTTATATTCAAGGGGATTGGCTGTATTAAAGGTGCTAAAGGGACTATGGGGGATGGGTTACTGGGAGGGAAGCTGAAGAGTAGAAAACTCCAAGCCTCCTGCCTCTGTCCGCACCAGAGTGGCCCCGTGTTTATTGGTTCTACATATTAGGGTTCTCCATGAGATTTGATACAGAGAGTTGAGAGGTAAGGGGTCTTTTCTTCAAAAAAAAAAAGTTTGAAATAGACTGACATTTTATGTATCTTTTCTATAATAATATTATTTCTGCAGTACTTTTTTAAAATCACATTTGTTGAGCACTTACTGTGTATCAGGCAATACGCTAAGGCTTTTACATTTATTTACTCATTTGATTCTCCCTGCAACCCAGTGTGGTGACCACTCATCTCCATTTTATGGATGCAGAACCTGAGCCACTGGAAGGTATAATAACTTCTCCCGAGTCACATAGCTAGTGAATAATGGCCAAGCCCGGTACAAGCTCAAGCAGTTTCGCCCCAGAGACTGCAGTCTTCACCAGTACACTCTACCAGCTTCTCTAGCTCAAAATTTTTAGGTCTGGAGTTACTTTTATTATTGAAGAAATACAATACTCAATCATCCACTCTGGTTGTTTTCATTTCGAATTGTTTACAGCAGTCATTCCCAAACTCTGCCAGGTTCTCTGGAACATTGCAATCTCAAGATCTCGTCCCCCTTCTAGATGCTTTTCCATGACCATGAACCTATTAGCCAATAGCCGTAGTTTCAGATCGCATACCCACCTTTTAACAGCTAGTAACTTTATATATCTGCACATTTCATTATGAAACATGGACATCCGTAACTAATCTGCAGTCAGGGTTACAAGTAATGTGTATAAATTCTATAACTCAATGCTTTGCAAGCAGTAAGGCTCAAAAATTGTAACTGTCATTATTAATAATACAGTTACTCAAGTTCTGTGCCCCCAGTTATATTCTGACGTCCTATGAGAATTGTCTTTCCTTCCTTAACGGGACAATTGGCAGTAGCTGTATCTTACCAGAACTTGCATGAAAAATAACGGTTCTTGTTCCCTTTTACAGTAAATACGAAATCAGGATATATTTAAATTTATTTGACAATCTAAAACACTAACCCTCCCCATCTGAGCAGTACTCATTTTGTCAACAAATATTTGAGTGCTTACCATGTGCCGGGGAATTTCACAGAAAGCATCGCTAAGAAAGTGACATTTAAGTAAAGACCTGAAAGAGGTGAGGGAGTGAAGCTGTGCAGTTACTTGGGGGAAGACAGTTCTAGGACGAGAGAAGTAACCCATGCACAGTCCATAAAGCAGCACTGTGGTGGGTTCAAGGTCAGCAAGGAGGCCACTGTGACTAGACTACAGTGAGGACAGACTGGCCGGGGGTAGAGGGGTGTGGGAGCATAGATCCGTAGAGCATAGTAATGGCTTTGACTTTCGTGGATAAGGAAGCTTTTGGGGGGCTTCAAACAGTAGTGACGTGATCTGACGTAAAGACTTAAAGTATCAGCTTGACGGCTGTGTAGAGAAGAGACTGAAAATGAGTAATGGGCAGAAACAAGAGAAAATTGGGAGGCTGTTGCAATAACCCAAGGTAAAGTTGATGTTTTAGAATTGTCGAGTTAAGGTTGTGCAGAGAGGTCAGTTGGGGGATATATACTTAAATCAGAGCTGGCAAGATTTGCTATTAATTGGCTTTGGGGTGTCTGGAAAAGATAAGAGTCAGGTGTGACTCACATTATATTGTAATGGACTGGTTTTTTCCTGAGGGACGGGATATTTTATTTTCTACTGTATTCCCCAACCCGTAGCACAGCGTGTGCGAGATGGATAGGCACCAAGTGAATATTTATTAACTTAGTTGAATGAATGAAAAAAATGTCAAGAACTTGGTTTTTAAATACGGAAATGTTTCTTTTCTTTTTACCCTTTTTCTGTTTGTTAAAAATCCCTCTTTAAAGAATTACTTTTAAATATTGAAAACAGTTGGACTCCTCTGCATTTTATCCCTGCGTTCTTGGAGTAGTGAGTTTTTGCCATTATAACCGCTTTCTCATTTTTAACTTGCTTTCTTGTATCTTAATGTGTTTCTTCTTAGACACTAGCAGTAGTCAGCCAAAGCCTTTCAGACGAGTAAGACTTCAGACAACACTGAGACAAGGTGTCCGTGGCCGCCAGTTTAACAGACAGAGAGGTAAATTTCTAAGTGACTCATAATGGGATGTGGGATTGTAATAAATGGAACAACTTTTCTAATCCTTAAGCTGCCAGCTTGTATCTAGGTTTTTAAAAATGTTCCAAGGATTGCTTAAATAATTATGCATTGAGCATGTGATGTTTACTAATCCGTAAACTTCTTGCAGACAGATATGTATTCCATAGGTGTATAATGAATATGTGCTTATATTTGTTCATTTCTTCCTTGAATTCAAAGTAAGATTTGGAAAAGCTAAAGTGTTTTAGTACTATGTATTCATTTGTTACACCTCTGCCTATAATTATACTTTTTATATAACAGAATAAAGCTTTGTGACTTTGTTTAGTAAAAAAGAAAAAATGTAAAATTTCAATATCTCTGTTTTCTAATGTAACTATTACAGATTGCATTCATGTTATAAGAATATTAATCTAATTGTAATGATTTCCATTGAAGATACGAAATTAAGTGTTTTAAAACAATTTTTATAATGAACTAGGGTAAGTGAATACTCTAGCTTTGAGCTAACTTCTTAAAAGATGCATTCAGTTTGATTCCTTTTTTTCCCTTACAGGTGTGAGCCATGCAATGGGAGGGAGAGGAGGCATAAACAGAGGAAATATTAATTAAATGTTCTATAAACTGTGAATAAGTTTGTCAAATCTGTTTTAGTGTCGTGATTGTCAAGTTTAAAAAATTTTTGTATTTAAATTGGTATGCTTATCTCAATACGCTTTATTAATAAAATTCATTTCAGTGTCAAAATATATCAATCTTTTCTTTGTTTTCATTATTTGTCTCTTCCTTTGCCATCGGTCTATGGGCAGTTGTACCAGACGTTGGATAAGGTCTGCCCAGAACGCGTAGTAACGGCTCTTGCTGTTCTCCTGGGCACATCGACGTTATAGTATTGATCTAAATAAAAGAGAAGTCATTTTGTTTAATTAAAAGGTAAAAAGAGACTTAAACCTAAAAATAGATTATGTTGATTATTATACTCAAAGTCACTGTTTATTATTTTAATAACCAAAAATGTTTATAATTAATTTGAACTTTCTGATAAAAATAAAATGAATTGCCTTGACAGATTGACCTTTCACCCTTTAGTAAAATCAGGTGTAGCTCTCCTTTTTCAAAATAAAAATTTGAGAATAACCAGCTTAATTTAAAAATAGTCATTCGCCTGGGTTTGATTCTTTTTTAAAAAAAATTCTGAAAGGGCCGGCCGAATGGCTCAGTTGGTTAAGAGCTCGCTCAAGAGTTTGAGCTCTGAGCAACAGCGGTTCGAGGCCAGCCCGAGCTGAGCAGCCGCTAAGCTGCCAATAGGTAGCAGGATGGCTCAGCTAAAAAAAAAAAAAAAAAAAAAAAAATCTGATGTCATTTATATAGGCAGAATAACTTAGATTTCTGGATTTTTCAAAGAAAAATGTCTCAGGTGATATAATTTAATTAATAAAATTAGTTTCTCGGGCACTGCTTTCTGGTCTTGTGAACTGTGTAGTGATGCAAATCAGTATAACTTTGTGGCAAACAAGGCCTCCATTAAATGCCACCAGTGTTAGAAATGAAATATTTTTGTCAGTAGCAGTTTGACTTAAGTAATTGGATGTTTTATCACAGCAGGCTTTCATCTCATGAAGGATAGGGCATAATTCAATTACAACCCTTCTCATTTAATGTGAAAATTTAAACTTGCTCCTCTTCAGAGAAATTAATTAGAGTAAGTGTTACAGTTTAACTTCTCACCTTCAGTCACTATCAAACACTTGGTGGGTTTTTTATTATATTTATATTTCAGAGATTAGATCACCCATTTGGTAAGCTAGTAAGAGCTGACTTAACTCACCCCTAGAAAAGGCGTAGTAATCGTAGCCGTCAGGTTTTCTGATGTTGGGCAGTGTTACAGCTGCAGTAACCACCTTGGGAAGGCCTCTCCACAGTGAACTCACTTGAACTTCATTATGAAGGAAACCTGTAGATGACAATGGACAGGCATCAGATTGGAAGGCGGTGTCCTCCTATACTGGAGAGAGCAGCTCCTAGAGCCAGACCTGCGTGTTAATCCCAGTTGAGTCACTTAGCTCTGTTACCTTGGCTGTTACTTAACTTCGGTGCCTCACTTTTTGCCTTCTCTGAGGTAGGTGCAAGTACCTACCTTTTGTCACTATTTTGAGGGTTACAGATTTGTATATAATGTCCTTGGTAAGAAGTACTTGGTCATATTGATTATAATTAAACATTCAAATGGCATTCCTCCCCCTCAAAGAGAGAGAGAGGATCTTTCATCATTTACTGAAGCAAACTGATGTTCTGTATCAAGCTTAAAAGTATTAGGGCTATTTGATCAGTATTTATATAAGAAACTATTACATCTACGTCACGTGTAAGAATTTTTAACACTGAAAACGTTACCTTTGTCTTGATAACGGACTCGGATGGGTGTGTAGTGAATCCTGATGGTGTGTGTTTGAGGAAGTCCGACAGCCCGTTCAAAGCGACGCCTCCTGACCTGTGTGGCTTCTCCAAACACTGGGTAATGAACAGCAGGCCTTCCAGTGCATTTTCTCACGGGCTCCTGTTTATAAGTGTACTGCTGAACCCTGCCACCTAGTATGTATTAGAAAAACATCTAATGAGAAAATTAATTTTAATCCCCCCCAAAAAAGTTGAAAAACAGCTTTTACAAGGTGGAGGAAACACTTTTTCATAAAGTATGTCTAGACATTAATAATGGCTCTTTGTCAAGGGTATTATAAAATTAAACCCTGAAGTACTTGTTGAATAAAGAAAGCCAACGAATTGCAGTTATATGTTTAATTTTGTTGGAAAGCAAGGGATGACCTTTTTAATATCAGTGACCAGAAAACTCAGGTGAAAATTGCGATTTGCATGTTGAAAGATCTAAATACATGCTTCTTACTGCCCTCAATTTTTTTTAATTGAAAATATGTGACTTCAGCCACTGAAGATATCTTTTGACAGTAAACCCATTAGTAAATGAAAATGTTGAGAAAAATTTCCCTGGCAAAACAATTCTTAAAAGTTCTGTAATTTTGTCAATTTTGTTACACATACCTCTCTTGAAAAAATACACAGATTCAGGTCTGTTCTCATATTTAGCTATTGAGAGAGCGGCCACTATTTTTCCATTTAGTCCTCCAAATCCTTTTGCAATTTGTTTGGGGTACCCTGCATCTTGTACATCATTGGTGAAACGCCAGTACTGAGAATCCTGATAATTTAAAAGAGGAAATGATGTTAACAGCTTTGGAAAACAAGGTTAGGAATTCGTTCTTATATTTAAATAGAGAAAGTTTTAATGGTGTTTGATAAAGTTGACCATCAATGTTCCCAAATTAAGTGTTGACTTTTTATAAAATTTTGATAGAATAGTTCATTAAAACATGGAAACGCTTGTGAAATGGAGGTTGAGCTGATTTGTTTTTACAGTAAATGAATAACTCTGCTGCATTCTCTCACAAAGATATTTTCTTACCTTAAAGAAGAAAGTTTTTCCTTCACAGTTGCATCTAGTAAAAACAGTGTCAATGGGGGAGGGAATACCCCAAACTTCAGTAATCCTGCGAGGTGGAGATGGTGGACTGAATGGATTTAACAACCAGAAATAATGACCTAAAATTGAAAGTGATAGATCAGCCTATAAACAGAATACTGAAACCTATCCCAAAAGAAACCAAAATGCAAAAAAATTAAATTATCATAAAAACATTGAATAGGTTAACAAGTGTTCTATGGCTAGAATTTAGAACTGTGAGGACTAGTACAGGAGGTACTATTTGAATGTTTCTGAGAGTGGCTATTTCTCAAGTCTGAAATTGAGCATAACCTTTGAAATATTTTAGTTTTCCAGTTTGTCTAGAAACAGCCTTCTGACTTTGTGACTTACAAAAAGTCACTTTTCTCTCAATTTCTTTTTGTTTCAGAATTAAGGAGTATAGTTAAATGACTACTAAAATCTCTTCAGCTGTGCAAGTCTGTGATTTACTTCCTTTCAGATGCAATCTAAACGTAAGAAAACTGGACTAGCAGTCAGTCCAGCAGATTATTAACACGTAATCACTACTGTTCTGTTACTCTTCCGCAGAGTGTAACACTTGAACACGTCACAATCAGGATGTTACTTTCAAATAACAGAGAGCAGGGAAAGCAAACCCTGATGTCATTTCATCTGATAGGAAATTAAAATTTCAACAACCTTTTCATTCCTAACGGGAGGAAAAATCTTAGTTCAAGTGCTTTGTTTCATTTGTTGCTATTATTTGTCTGAGTTTGTTAATCCAATCTTTTGGTAGTTACTCTCAGGTTCTCATAATATTGTGTGAGATGAGTTCATCTATCAGGTTCCCCTCCGGAAAGTTCGACCCAAAATACCATCTCCCGTGGCTTTGGTTCTTCTCATATATGCCAAGAACAAAAGGAGCCAAAGAACAAATGTGTGCATAGCTCACCTCGAAATGCAACTAAGGTCCCATTCCTCAAAGTAGTCAGCCCGTCTACTGGTTTACCGTTGCATAAATCAGTCTCATCTAAAACAAATGAACAAAAAATCAAGTCAGTACAAAACAAAATGAGGAAAGTGTTTTTTTCAAATCCTCCCCCAGGATTCCATTCCCTCTCTTCACCCTTGTCCTAAGCTTTTGAAGGGTATAGTTTGAGGTGCATGTATTTCAGAGGTGAAAGAGAAATCATATGTTTCATAATTGTTTTACTTAGAGGTGATATTCAAAAAGTATTACATAAAAATAAATGAATTAGAATGGGCCGGGTTACCTGGTCTTTATGTAAATTAGATAATTATTGGATGTTCGATCTCAACATGAAATTCCGTTTTTCAATTCTGATTGCCCATTAGAATTGGTTTGGAGAAGAAAATAACATTGCCTATTTTTGCTTTGCATTGTACTTTCTGTTAACGATAGACTCCCAACTAAATATTTTTGTCATCCTTACACTGTCTCTGCTTACAGACAGACATATGAAATTCCTAACACTAGGTCATGACTCAATTTTCCAAAGACTGAGTTATCTTACTGTGATGACTCCTCTGTTTGCCTACAGAGACACTATGAAACTTCCCAAGGTAACAAATTCAAGCAAGGTTCTAGATAGTATACATCAGTAGGATGATACTAAATCAGGGCATTCTGGCTCTGGTAGACTTTCGGTTCACATTACTAGTGTAATAAATGGAAGTAACCAATTCTCACCTGAAAGCATGGGGTTGATGCCCATGCCTTGATTGGGTGCTCTCACTATGACTTCAGAGCCTGGAATAACTATAGGAGTTAGCATGTGGGGCCTGAGAATTACGTGAGGTGTTTCTCCTTCAGCAGGTCCTGGTTCTCCATTCTCTGGATTTCCTTCAAGTGTTTCTGAGTTAGGAGCTTGGGTAGGCCTGGGGGCGGTTTGGAGCATGGTTTCCTGTGAAGAGGCAGGATTCAGGGTCGGCACCGTTGATGTAGTCATCTTTGGGGGAGATGGCGTAGGCTTTGGTTTTCTCACTTTAGGTGTTGTGTTTGGCTTTTTGGTAGAGGTGGGCGTTTTGGGTGCTTTGGTTGGCTTTGGGGGTTGACGAGTTGTCACTTTCGAACTAGTAACTGTATCTTCTGATGCATCTGTTGTTGCTTCAGATGTATTCTTAGACTCGTCTGTTGTCGTAGTTGTCTTTTTTGTGGTAGTTGTTACCTTGGGTGCAAGAGTTGTTTCCTTGTCAGTGATTTTGGATGATGTCGCCGTGTCTTTGGTTGTGGTGGATGTGACCTGCATGGTCGTACTTGTCGTTTTGGACTCAGTGGTCTTTTCTTCTGCTGGAGTTGCTGTCTCTTTCGTTGTGCTCTTCGATGTTGCAGTTGTGACTTCAGTTGTGGTGTGTATGCCCTCTTCTGTTGTCTTATCCTTAGCTGTGGTAGTCACTTCGGACTCGGTCACTTCAGAAACCTGAGTTGTAGTTACAGCAGTC